CATTCAAGGATCTTCAATTTTATTGTTATTTTGTATCTAACAACCTTGGACACTTAACTCCTGTGGTGAATTACTTTGCTGTTACCTTTATCTTGAAAGTATTGCTGAAGAAACAATTATGAAAAAATATTTGTCTGCTTCTGTTTATGAAGATGCAGTCACATGACAACTTATCAATATTTACAGAGCTCTAAAATGTTCTGAAAGGTGGAAGAGAAAGAAACAGTATTCAAGAGTCTTGTCTCAAGGAATTGTGGGGGAGACAAGGTGATAATTGAGCACTATATATAAAAATAGGTACAAAGAATTATGCGGAGCAATTAAATCTGATGGGATGGAGTCCCTTACGTTAGGGAAGGGTGTCTAGATACATTGGATTCAAAAGCAGAGGAAGAACCTATTTTGGAGGAGTCTTTGTGAGTGGAAGGGAAATCCTGAAGTTAGGGTTGGTCTCGTTCTTGAAAAAAGGAAGTTGTTGCTTTAGGAGGGTTGACTAAATACCCTGACAATACTCACTTGACTAAAAATATCTCTTCCATGGGCTTGAAGTCCTAAAGCCAGAACCAGAACTGTAGCTTGTTCCTGCTGCTCGCCATTCTGTGTTCCACCTCTGCAATCTTGCCCAGGCTTATCCTTCCTTGGGAATGTCCTTCTCGCTTGCCTTCCTCACCTGCTTACTCCCACTTATTTTACACCATGCCAGGAACCATGGCTTTAAAGAGTCTTTCTCAGCCCCTTCATTTATTGCACCACTGGGGCAGGGCCTCACCTACATTTTCCCATTGTATCCTGTACACGTTCCCATCACAGTGTTCATCATACTGTTCATATCCACTGACTTCTCTGGACTCCAAGGACCACAAGGGTAGAGACTCTATTGATTCTCTCTGTAACCTCAGCACAGTGGCCAACATATACGTATGCTTAAGAAATAACAAATCTGTAGCTGGGTGCTGTGTCTCTTGCCTATAATCCCAGCACTTTGGGAGACTGAGGCAGGAGGAGTGCTTGAGCTCAGGAGTTTGAGAGCAGCTTGGTAACATAGCAAGACCCCGTCTCTACTAAAAATAAAAAAACATCAGCTAGGCATGGTGGCCTGTGACTATAGTCCCAGCTACTTGGGAGGCTGAGGCAGGAGGATCACTTGAGCCTAGGAGTTGAAGGCTGCAGTGAGCTATGATTATACCACTGTATTCCAGCCTGAGCAACAGAGGGAGACCCTGTTTTTACAAAAAAAGAAAAAGAAAGAAAGGAAGGAGGGAAAGAAAGAAGGAAGGAAATGTGTAATTGAAGTTTTACCTGTTTATTTGTAAACTTAAATTTGGACAAGTTAGCTGGAAGTGTAGACTAGTAATGTGTTAACACATGAACCTAAATGAGTTTATCTGGTTGACTCCTTTGTAGAAGCAGGAACAGAGTGGTGGTGAGTTAGCATGGCTCAGTGAGCTGATTTGGGGGCAGGTAGGCAGAACAGGCTGGCTGTCAGCCCTGGCTGAGAGGCAGATTTGAAAGAGCAAAGGTGAATGGCCTAGATTGTATTATTCTTATTCTTATTTACCTAGTACTGCCCTTCTGTGAAAAGTGGGAGAAAGCAAGAAGAGTTTAGGGAACAGCAATTAATCTTTTGGATTTTCTTGACTAGATTGTGGAAACTGAGCAGAGGCAAACCATACAGAGGCTAGCTGGGCCTGGACGATTGCTGGGGAGCTTTGGAAACACAGCCAGGTGACAAGGTTACATGTAGAAATGTCCATCTTAGGAATGTATAGTAGTCTAAGAAAAAGCCATTTGATGTTGGCTGGGTGTTTTGTATATTTGCACAGAGAACTTGCTCATTTATCGAGGTTCTTAAAGCACTCAGTTATTTGCCCAAGAGAGATGCCTTTTCACATTAACAACGGTCTACCTGGTGTCATAATTTCTCAACAGATAAGACACACTTGTGCTCAGGAAGGAACTTCTGCAGGCAGATAGCATACCAAACTTTTATTGTTAATATGGGAAGAAAGGCATGCATCAGAATAACAGGAAAACCTGCTCTGGTGTGTTTGCACCTGAGGAGGGGGATGGGATGCCATTTTTATCAGAAACACTGAAAGCAGCCGTTCTTGCAAGATGGACTGTTCCAGATTTTGTTGCTTTGTGAAATTTTTAGTACACAATGTAAGTAAAAGTTTTAGGCAGAATTTAAGTAAAATCCAGGATTATTTCAGACAGTTAGAAATGAATAATAACATGTTTATCATTAGAATCAGAATCTCCTTGTTATATTTTATAGGGTTTAGCACTTGTCTGTGAATACCCATCTCACTGAATGTCTCCATCCACAACATAGGTTCCCCCCACCCCGGGTGAAGGGATGGAGAAGAGTGGATCTTTTTCTAATTTTTTTTTTCTTCCATCATATTTATATGTATAAAATTTCACAGACTGACATTTTCTAGAACCTCCATATTAGCTTAACAAGTTTGTTTAAATACAAAGATTTCTAAGTGACATTTTGACTTCTGATTTATATGGAATCTTAATAAATTATACCAAATAAACTCTCAAATTATACTGATTAAGAAATCTGATTAAGAAGTTTTTCTTCTCAAAAGAAAAATAAATATTTTCAGTTCTTTTTAAAATATGTTTTTGTGTTTGGCAGTGCCTTGGTCTCATGGCAGAGAAGAGATTAAGTAAAATGCTAACTTGTAGTAACTTTGTATTTTTAAATTTCTTATCCTGAAGACTAATACAGAGGTAATTCCTGGGAAACCTCATTTCTCTGGCAAGTCAATGGCTTACTTTGCTTCTTGTTATTTGCTTTTAACAGTAACAGAGATTTTTATTCCTTCTCTCCTTTTTCTTTAATTTGCAGAGTCAATTAAACTGTTTAACCAAATAGATCTTAATAGCGTTGATAGATTGTTATTATATTCCTGTCGTAGTTATTTTTTAAAACTGGCAGGAAGCCTTTGGTATTGAACATCATTTGCAACCTTGGTGAATGGTCATGTAAATGGACAATTTGCAGAAATTCCAGCTGGGTTTAACCTTAGGACAGGGTTGTTCCAACATAAAGCTGCTGGCTCCCTTTGCACTATTGTGGATTTCTGTTTGTTTTCTTTTTACTGTTGGACAGGCTTCCCCTGAGAAGTTTAGATGAACGATTTAAGGGAGGTGTGTTTTCAGGAGAACTTAGTGGTGATATTGGAAAAATCTTAGTGAAATGATGACCGAGGTCATTATAATATAGCCTTGAATCTCATAACTTGGGAGGAAGTTGGTAGGAGGTGGTGGCAGAAAGGGAACGATACTGAGGTGTTTCTAACATGAGCACAGGAATATGTGGCAATAATAGAACATTACTAAAGTTCTCCTCTAGAATGAGTCATTGACAAATATAATTTGAGGCTTTATGCCACCCCAAGAAAGTATCAATTTCTATGATTTTTATAAACTTGCACTTTAGAAAGGTTGGCAAATTGATATAGACAATGAATAAATGCATTCAGAATTCAAAGTTGACATTCATATTTTGGCCTCAGTTTAGCTAGGTGAGATATTTAGTGACACTTGGATGTCTTTCCAAGGGTTAGATTTGTTAAAAAATAATACTAAAACAATATGACAGATAACTTTCAGTATTCTAGACTTAACTAGGAAGCAAATTTTGCATTCAAGAATAGAGAATAACTTTGCAAACCCAAATCAAGAAATCTAACCACCCTAATGAAATGAATTTTGTTGTAAAGCTAAAATGATTACATACTATATTCCTTAACTTAATGAGAGAAAAATGTACCTCTGGTCTAATAAGTTCCATATTGTTAAATGTCAATGTTAGCATCTCTCTTCATCGGTGTTATCAAAAATTTAATGCTAATATTGTTTTACTGAATCTGTGAAGAGATTTTACTATTTTTCTTTTTCTTTTTGGAGTTTGGGGTGTGTTAGTGTTTCAGAGTTTGGTGTTGAGACTGTATGTATTTCCAAAAGATAATACTGAAATAGTTGATGAAATTATAATCAGAGTTCTACATCCTCAACTCTTTATATCCAAGAAGTTTGCCATTTCAAAGAAAGACCAGAAGTTTTAAAAAATAATTATGACAGGAATATGAGACTCTATCAACACTATTAAGATCTGTTTGGTTAAACAGTTACCTTTTCCCACATGAACTATTTTTTGATCAATATAAAGTATGGTAAAGCATGGAAAAAAAGCAAAATTTGAGATACTTTTGTAGGTTGACACATGTGAGATAGTATATAAACTTAGCTTAAATATTCAAACACTGTAAAATGTGAGGCAGATAGGATATCATCTTCGAAGAGGATATAGTGAAAACAATACTTGGAAATGACAAATAGTCAATATGGACATAACCTTTTCATTTTAGAGAAACCTTATTGCCCAGACAAATTTAGTAGTAGTGTGTATTTTACTTCTAACGATTTAGTGACTGAAGCACTTTGCCTTTTCCATCATATTCTGATAATAAAAGCTCCTATTCTGTGAACATTTTACAAATTTTTTTTTTTCAGACTGAGTCTAGCTTTGGTTCCAGGCTGCACTGCAGTGGTGTGATCTTGGCTCACTGCAACCTCTGCCTCCCGGGTTCAAACAATTCTCCTGCCTCAGCCTCTTGAGGAGCTGGGATTATAGGTGCACCACCATGCCCAGCTCCTTATTGTATTTTTAGTAGAGACAGGCTTTACCCTTGTTGGCCAGGCTGGTCTCAAAGTCCTGACCTCAGTAATTTGCTGGCCTCGACCTCTCAAAGTGCTGGAATTACAGGCGTGAGCCACTGCACCTGGCCTACACTTTTTAATCATCTGATTTCATGAAGAGTTGTTAACTACTCCCAGCTAATGCTAAACAGGAGGTGTCCAGGTTCTTCCACAGGCACTGTTCCCAGGCTCAGTTCCCAGGAGCCCATATTCAGTGGTTATTTAATAGCTTTGAAATGCCATTCACCTGTGGTCTATTTCACCTTTCCCATGATTCTTAGGGAGATGCTGACCTCCATTTTGAAAACGGAAAATAAAAGCCACAGATCTATGAAGGTCTAAGGCGAAGTTCAGAAAAGCTGTATCGACTGTTGAGACCTGGCGACTTGTTTAAATTTCATTAGCCTCACTTCTATGAACTCTCAGGTAAGCACTCTATTAACTTATAATTTTCCTGTGAACTTTATAAAGCAGAGGAAAATGGCCGACATGGCAAAGTACTTGGTTAGAGTCCAAGGTGCAGTGTTGGTAATTAGCTCAAGGGAAAAAAAAGTCAGAGTCAGGCTGCTTGCTGGAAGTTTGAGTGCAAATTTGACAAGGAAAGGAAAACGGATAGCACTCAAGTGAGAACTAGCTTAACACTTGAATTCAGAAAACTCCAGAGTTCCTCCTTGTTAAGTCCTGCAAATAAAGAAGAGGGTGAGAAAGAAGCGATTCTTGAATATTTCCATGGAAATAGCTGTTTTTTTTTTTTATGACTTTTTAAAGCCACTTTTAAGCTATTGCTTTCAGTTTACTTCAGTGCTCTCACTGAAGTAAGCTTAGAAAGAAATCTTTGATATGCCAGATCAACCAAAAGTTTAAGAATATCCTTTTGTGTCTCCATTTATAATGCAAATAGTAAGTTGGTGTTTTGGGTTCATTTCACCATGGTCTCTGAAGTGGGTTAACATACACAGAATGAGGAAGTGAAGGGAGTCCCAAAGAGAGCACATCTTTGATAGTTCAATAATAATAAAAAAATGTATTTAGTTCTTTTTTTAAATACCTTTCACATCCTAAGAATATGAAACATAAGAGGAAGATCTAAGAAGAATAAATTGTGGTTGCCCTCTATGTTAGCTGAATGACTAAAGATATCATATTTGTTCTATGAATTATCCACTACTTAAATATTCCTTAAGTCTAGCCTTTATGAGCTCATAAAAAAGACTTTGCTTATGTGTCTAGGAAAGCCAGTATCTTTATATGCTGTCAGAACTAAATTTAACATACTGTTTCAATATAACTTTGAAAACCAGCAGATATTTTGTTATAGAAAGCAAGCTAGGCAAGCACCTTAAACCCATGTTTACATTTTAGCTTTATCAAACATAAACATTTCCTAGTTGCAATAGTTTTAAAAAGTGGTAATCTATGCTTGAGAATGATGGAAAGCGACGGAATTCTGGTTGAAATAGTATTGCCACTGTACTGTTTTATTCATGAGAATCTCCAATCTTTTTTTTCATATATACTAAAAAAGCCAAAATTAATTAATGTCAGAAACACAAATGAGGATTGGCAGTGATCATCCATCCATGCTGGGGGAGGGAAGGCTGGGTGCTCTGTATGGTGTAAACTCCAGATTGCATTTCCCCACTGAGCACCTCTGTAAAGCCTCCCATGCATTTGGAAGCTTCAGAATTTCTTCTGGGCAACTAAAGTCAAATATAATTTTTGACAAATCCCAACCCCTCCCTCAAGGCAACCAAGAGCAATAATGTTTCAGGAAGCTCCAGCTGAAGTGTTAGTAATAACCATCAAATAAACAGAAGTTTTACCATCTTCTGTTTCATGATTTAGCTTTTTCAAATGTAAACAATTTATAAGGAAAAGGGTGAGCCGTGTTGGATATGAGAAACAGAGAAAAATTTGGTGGGAAAAATCAGAGGCATTCATTGTCAGGAGATAGAGTTGGGACGTGCCTATGATTCCAGACTGGGTAGACTCTTGTCTTCATCCTTCCTCTTGTGTTATAAGTATCACTTTTTCTCCTCTTTCCTTCCCTTCCTTTCTCCTCATTCTCTCTTGGGCGTGGACTTCTCTTACCTTTGCCTCTCTCAGGGACCTGAGTTGACAGCCTTCTCTGCCCAAGCCACTCCCCCTACTCTTCTCCCACTTGGCCTAGCTGAGGAACTGCTGTTTCCCAGGCACCCTGTGTGCCTTAGCTTTGCCTGAAAACCTCCGGTGTGTATTTCTTAATGGCTATATTTTAGGAGCGAAAAAGTCTCCCAATGACCCCCTTTCGTTTGTTGTCTGATTTGAATTAAGCTGCACAACTCTGATTAGAGACAAATCTTTCTTTTTTCCACACTGCTGCTCTTTCTGCTGTCTCATTTAACACAGCTGGTATAAAATGCTAGAACTATTTAGCATAACAAGACCTATTAGTAAAAGTGATGAGAAAATGCCATTAAAAAGGCAAGAAATATATCCCCTGTAGGAGATGCTGTTGTTACCCTGCTTAGATGCCCTTCAGTGCCTGGTACTTGCTTCCCCCATGCCTCCTGTCCAAGCTGCTTTGAGTGTGGCTCATGCATAGCTACCTTCTTCCCTGGAGACTTGTCCTCTGGGAAATGACTGACAGGGACAGGGGTCAAAGTAGTGGGGAGCTAATGAAAGACCAGCATCTTTACCTCAAGGTGGACCTAATGCTGTGTTGTGATTTGTGCTCCAGAACTTCCAAATCAACTGAAGCTAGCCTCCAGCTAAGCCTACACTTGGTCAACATTCTTCCCCTCTCATCTCCTCCCCTTCTCCTGAGAACACTCCAATAAATCACTTGAACAAAAACGTTTACCTCAGGCCCTGATTCTAAGGAATCTCACCCAAGACATATTTTTTTAAATTAAAAAAAAGTTGGAATTATTTGGCTAAATCTTAGTATACATGAAATGACCAAAGATGGAATTGGTATTGACCCAAAGCATTAGATTTGGCAAAAACGACACAAAAACTTAAGATATTTTGTAGCAAAACTTAAGAACTAAAGCGATATTATCTTTTGCCTCATGAAAAAGGGAACTATCTTTTGAGGAGTTGCAAATATTTAAAATGTTATTAGCCTCGAGAAATTCCATGAGATGGACTGCAGCAGTGTCTTGATTACTTACGTTATGACTGGTTTTACAGTTTCCAAAGTAGTTTCAATTACATGACCTTGGGTCAATCTCATGACAATCATGACAAATGAGATACTTATTAGCTGCATTTTCCACATATCAAGATTGTGTCTCAGAAAAGTTAAATGGCTTGACCCTGTCTCATAGTTAGTAGTTGGTGCTGAAACCCAGGTTTCTCTGAGAAATATGAGGGAATATTAGGAATAAACCAATTTCTTACCTTTATCATAGGTGGAGTTTTCCATAATTCTGTTATTAAGTCTGTTAGGGTTGCACTTGTGCATAGCAAGACCTATTTGTAAAAATGATGACCTAGACTTAATCTTGGTCAAAGTCGTCCTTTTCCTATTAAATGTGTGCATTATCCATTGTTGCATAACAAACTATCTTAAAACTTAGCCGTTTAAGACAACAAGCACTTATTATCTCATAATTTCTGTGGGTCCAAAATCAGTAGGTAGCTTAAGTGCCTCTCTCTATCTCAAGGGCTCTCACAGCTACAAATAAGGTATTGGCCAGGATTGTGGTCTCATTTAAAGGATCAGCTGAGGAGAGACTAACTTCAAGCTCACTCAGTCAGTTAAAAGGATTTGATTCCTTGGGAGCTTTTGAACTGCAGGCTCCATTTTCTCACTGGTTACTGGCCAGAGGCCATCCTCAGTTCCCTGGCATGTGGCTCTTTCCATAGGACAGCTGACAGTATGGCAGGTGGCATTCTACAGAGTGAGTAGGCGAGGGAAAGAAAGAAAAGGTGAGCGAGGTGGAATTCAGAACATTTTTGTTACTTGATCTTGGAAGTGAGAGCCCATCAATTTTGCTGTATTCTCTTGGTAAGAAGTGACTCCCTAGGTCCAGCCCACACTCAATGGGAGGGTATTACACATGGACATGCATACCAGGAGCCAGGGAGTCCGGGGAGCCATTTTAGAGGTTGCCTATTGCAGTGTGTCACTTGGCTTCCTCATCTACAAGGCCCTGCAATTTGATCCAACCACTGTTTTCTCTATAAGGAAGCACTGGATTATTTTCAATATGGTAATTTCATGGGTTTAGGCATATGTGCTGTAGTTTAATGTTCTTCTCACTTGTTCTTCCTCCCACCCACTCTTCAATTTCTCTTCTCCTTTTGCTCTTCCTTTCTTGCTTCCTCTGTCCTCCTGCTTCTGACTGTACTCACTTCTCTTTCAGGCTCCCTGTTTTCTCTCTCCTCCCTTCTCATGCTCTCACGGTCACCTTCCTTTCAGAATCCAAATTCTCTGTATCTGTTCCTGCTGCCATGGCCCTTGTTGCTCCTCCATCTGCTCATAGGGACCATGGCCAACCAGCAATTTTAGCTGCTGGCTCTTAAGTTTCTAAAGAAAGTGATTCAATTCAACTCTTGGGTCTAGTCTTTCTACCAAGTTCCTCTAGGAAGATGACACCATGATGAAGTGAGACAAAGTGTTTTTTATAGAACATTGAGAATCCTGTTTTAGAAGGTGGGGGGAGGATTTTCTCTATTTCTCCATGCATAATGTCAGATCTGAATTATATCTAGTGTTGTCTTGTGTGTTTTATGTTAAATTATTTAAAAAGATATGATGATGAGAATGATGATGATGATGTAAGCTAAAGTACACCATTGTATCCCTTATCTAAAATTAGTTGTTTAATCCTGATGGTAGTGACTGCAGCCTTTATCTCTACTTCCAGTATCTAGAATCATCTGAAGAAATAAATGAATGTAGCCCTATAACAGAACTAAGTAGATTGGATAGGTTGGCAGCTTTAGCAACTGAAGATAGAGTAGAAATGGTTTTCCCCAATCTTATGTGAAATCCAGGGAAAATAGTAGTAGTATCGATATTTCTAATTTTCAACCATAGATGATGCTGTCAAAGAAAGAAGACAAATTTGACCCAGCAGAGAGCATATTTCATATGTGGGATTTTTGTGCAGTAATTAGCCTGTTTTGGTCTAGGATGACTGATAGCAATTCTATGGCCCATTTTCCTGATATTAGGCAAAGGTTCTTGGGGCAAAAATGTGATTAGAATATGTTCAACTTGATGATATGTATGTTAAGGCTATTGGCACATACCAACCAATTTTATTGCATGACCTATTGCTAGAAAACATCAAAAGTGGGGGTCAAATCATTTGAAGAATAGTTGTTTAGTGAGTTAGAATGAATGAAGTCTTCAGTGAATACCAGCATCAAATTCTGTCCTAGTTTGTTGCTTGTCATGCCCTATTCTCCATCTGGGATGCCCCAGGCACTCT